TTAAAAAATACTGTAAGTGTTTTAATTTTATGCTAGTAGTTTTTAGTCATTTCTGTTTTAGGAACAAATCAGATTTCTCTACATGGCAGTTTTGGAATACGTTCGAGAATTTAACGTTTATGAAGTTCTACCTTAGATAAATTAAGTTGATGTTTAACTCGTTTACTATACCTATACCGAATGACTATTAATGGCTGTGATCTTTTTGTCAGGTTGGCAGGCTATTTAAAATTTTATGATGGTATATCTGACCGCCAAAGTGAGTTTTATGACAACTACCATCATCTCAACCAATCAACACGTTTGCTAGACGTGCTCATATAAAAACTAATAACCGTCATGGAGGTAGAATAAGAGTAGGGAAGATTGTTTGAAAGTGCGTGTGGCACCGCCATTTCGACTATTTTTTCCAGCTTCTCCGAGAAACTGGTTGTTCCAGTGGTGTGCTCGAAAACGCTTGTCAAGGAGCTGGATATACGATGCAAATAGTAACACGCAGCAAGTCAATGGCATTTATCAAACAAATATAGATCAATATTGTACATGTATTTAATCAGTGTCAATGATAGGAATCAAATTCTTTTACTACTTGCTACCTGTGAACCCTTTCATAACCAAAGTACCCGCCTCTGATTGACTGTTGATAACAGACCGCTCCCGATGTAGTACGGAAAGAGTCATAAATGGCTCTTGCATGGAGCTCTTTTTCCGGCGTTTCTTTAACAATGGTTAAATGAGGCATGAAGCATGGTTCCTCCTGTCATCCTACCTCTATAATGACAGTGAACTGACTAGCATCGATGTCAAATTCAAAATTGCCAACACAAAAATTTACTTCTATTATTAATAGTCATCCGGTACTTATATGTAGCACGAAATAATTGTATAAACAATAAAAAGACCATCGTGACTTAACTCGTTATTGTTTGACAAGAAAACACTAACAACACATTATAGTACAATCACTGTCAACATTAACAGAACTGGTAAATCTGAAGAAAAATTCGTAAAAATTATATATATACGTTGAAACCTGGGAACAGACTGTTCAAAGTACTCAACAAAAGTACTTGAAGTACCAAGTACAAAGAACTTCCTGAAATAGTGTTCAAGTAAAGTACCAATTACTTACTTTTACTAAAAGTACTTCAAGTGTCAAGCACTTTCCTCAAGTACTTGAAATATAATCCAAGTACATTACTTCAAGTACTTGAATGTACTTGAAATACTGAAAATAACCTAGCTAATAATTTGAAAAACTGCAGATTAACATAACCGACATTTTGAGTCTTAAAAGTAGGAATCGAGGAATTAAATAAATCATCTAAAAACCATGGTGACAATGTTATCACGGATAGGCGCCTTATTAATGAAGACGAATTATTGAATGAGGTCGATAAACGTCAAAGGCGTGCAAATAATGTTATAGTCAGTAATTTGGCGGAGTCAACGGGTAATACTTTGGAAGAAATAAATCATGATGATCGTGAAAGAATAATAAACCTTGTGGCAAGTGATGGTATAATAATAATCTACAAAACACGTACTATAACAACGAAGACACATTAATCAAAACTGTAAACAACAATTTTAAATTTCACATTAATTTCCAAAATGAAATTGAAGACCAATTTAAATTAACTTTCGAAACATGTTCCAAATTAAAACCAAATGATAGACATCCACTTCCCCGCCAGTGTTATTCTAAAAAGTTTCTGGCAATTGTAGAAATAATGAACTCCTTCATTTTACCAAAATATCTCACAAACTCGATCTCTTTTGAAAAACTTCATACAATTATCTACTGTGCAGCTTTAAGTTGTATTCAAATTAACACATGTAAAGATAACATAATAAATACAAACACCAATCGTATACCTTCAGCCCCTCATTGGGAAACACGGTTAAATTATAAAATTAATAACATTAGAAAACAACTAGGTCAAATAACACAGTACCTTAGAGGAGTTAAAACACCACATATCATGACATGTATGCATTCGATACTGACCAACAATAATTTTCATCAAACTGATTACGATGAATACAACACAACACTATCCCAAATTAAAGATACCCTATTACAAAAGCTTTCCTTATATAGCAAACGACTTAAAAGATACAAACAATCACATCTCAGAAAAATTCATAACACTAAATTTTTAAAGAACGAAAAACTATTCTATCAACATTTAACTTATTCAAACAAAACTCAATTATCCGGTGAACTTCCAAGTTCACAGGATGTAACAACATTTTGGTCAAAACTTTGGTCTCAAGAATTTGAATTTAACCAATCTGCCAAATGGATTCCTCATATATCCCATAAACTATCCACAGTTACACCAATGAATGATCATCAGATAACACTTGCCGAATTAGTAAATACCATCAATAAGACACACAACTGGAAATCACCAGGACCAGACAAAATCCATAATTTTTGGATAAAAAAATTAAATTGTGTACATATTCATTTACTACATCACTTAAATAATTTCCTTCTTGACCCATCCTCCTTTCCAACATTCTTATGTCATGGTGTAACATACTTAAAACCTAAAGATAACGACACAAAAAATCCATCAAAATATAGACCTATCACATGTTTACCGACAATCTATAAAATATTAACCTCATGCATTACACAAAAAATCTATCAACACTGTTTTAACTCTAACATCATTAATGAAGAACAGAAAGGATGTATTAAAGGATCCTTTGGTTGCAAAGAGCAATTAATCATAGATTCCATCATCTGTGAACAAGCTAGAAAAGAAAACCGAAACATATATACTGCTTTTATTGACTATAAGAAAGCTTACGATTCTGTCCCTCATTCCTGGCTATGCAAAATTCTGGAATTATACAAAATTGATACTAAAATCTGCACTTTTCTCAAATGTTCCATGGAATTTTGGAAGACCACCCTCCAAATAACCTTAAATGAACAAACAATTCAGTCAGATCCAATAATGATCCGAAGAGGAATTTTTCAAGGCGATTCTCTTAGTCCGTTGTGGTTCTGCTTAGCAATAAATCCCCTCTCCGATATCCTGAACAGCTGCAATTATGGGTTCAATATAAGAATTAACAAACAAAGAGAAAACAGAATAAGTCACTTGCTGTATATGGATGACATAAAAATATATGCAAGTACACAAAATCAGTTAACAAACCTATTAAATCTGACTGAACAATTTTCCGGTGACATTGGTATGTCTTTTGGTATTGAAAAATGTAAGACCCAAGCAATCAAAAAAGGCGTCCAACACCAAGTACCACATATAACCCAGAATAACGAAATAATCGAAGCACAAGAACGAAACGATACATACAAATATCTGGGTTTCTGTCAATCATCACACATCAATCATACCAAAACGAAAACACAGTTGAAAGATCAATACCTAGCGAGATTGAAATTAATATTGAAGACACAGTTAAATGGAAAAAATTTAATGAAAGCAGTAAATACATTCTGCGTTCCACTGCTAACATATTCTTTTGGAGTCATTAAATGGTCCAAAACTGATCTTGAAAATTTAAACATCGCAACAAGGAAAATCTTCACACAGTATAGAAGGCATCATCCAAAATCGTCGATTGAAAGATTCTCATTACCAAGACAGAATGGAGGAAGGGGTTTCCAGAACCTAGAAAACTTATGTCAGAGACAAATCTCAGATTTGAAGAAGTATTTCTTGAAACGAGCGGAAAGAAATGAAATGTTTCGCACCATCACAAGAGCAGATTTGAACCACACACCCTTAAATCTGTCGAACACCGAAGAAATCCACATCCCCCACACAATAGATAAAATAATAAGTGGGCTAAAACAAAAACAACTACATGGAAAATTCTACAAAGACTTAGAAGAAACTCATGTCAATAAGAAGATGTCATTGATTTGGTTAAAAAAATCAGGTTTGTATGCCGAAACAGAAGGATTTGTGTTTGCTATTCAAGACCAAGTAATCAATACCAAGAATTACAAAAAATACATCATCAAAGATCCGAACATAAAAAACGACTGCTGTCGCCTCTGCAAAGCAAAACCTGAAACGATCCAGCACATAATCTCTTCTTGCAGCATCCTAGCACAAACTGACTACAAAGCTAGACACGACAACGTCGCCAAAATCATCCACAAAGAATTAGCAACACTTATGAACTTAATCGAAGATACGACACCGTATTACACTTACATTCCATCCCCGTTCCTTGAAAATAACAAATACAAATTATACTGGGATCGCACAATACTTACAGACTTAAACATTACAGCTAACAGACCAGACATCATACTTATCAAGAAACACACGAACGAAGCCATTCTCATTGACATTGCTGTTCCCAACACAAACAACATTATTCAAACATACCACACCAAGATTTCAAAATATCTACAGTTATCGATAGAAATGAAATCCATGTTGAATCTTAAAAAAATTTCAATTGTACCTCTAGTTATCTCTAATGTAGGTGTAGTTCCAAATAGCTTAGTTGAGAATTTAAAGTCTTTGCATTTGAATGATTCAATAATTATCAAAATTCAAAAAGCTGTTTTGTTAGGAACATGTCATATTGTTCGTAAGTTTCTTGAACAGTCTGATCATGTTAGTCAGATTAGGTTAGCACCAGTAGGTCAGAGTAGTGTAGGTCAATTTTCAAGTGATGCGCGGATAAATGGTCGGTAGTTACGCTAGACTTTTGGGGATGGGGTGAGATTAGAGAATAATAGCAGACTAATTTGTATGCTGTAATTCTAGAATCTCGAAAGTTGTTCTGTTAATCTAATCAATGCATATCATTACTTGGTCTTAGTACCCGTAATGATAGAAGTCTTGCCTGAATGCCGGTCATTTCCGGGTCAGTGGTGGGTCTTAATCAGTGCTGATATAATCAAATGCACCCGTATTGGCAAATTTTGTCAGTTAAAAACGCGCCCGATAAGTATTACTTTAGTTTCTAGCATATTACTTCTGCGTTAATCAATGTCACTTTTTTTAGAAATCTATTATCAAAATGTAAGAGGAGTAAATACATTAATAGGTAGGTACATTTTATTCTAACGTCTGTGCATCAGATGACGAAATTATTGTGTTAAGAGAAACCTGACTAACAGATGGAGTTCTTTCTACAGAACTATTTTCTACTGTTTTAAATGTTTTTCGTTTTGACAGAAAATCCGCTAAAGGTGGAGGTGTCTTAATAGCAATAAAAAGCTCTATCACCGCAAACAAGCTTGGTGTCTCCGGTGCCACAGATTGATCTAATAGGTGTCAAAATTCATGTTAATAATAAACCAATGACCATCGTTGCAGCATACATCCCTCCTTCAACTCAACTTAATGACTGTGTCTTTGTTTGAATATTTGGAAACTTTAACTTTAGTAGTCCGATACTCATCTTGGGAGATTTCAATATGCCACAGTTACTGGAATGTCTAAGTGGTGTAAGAATAAACCAGTTATTCAATGTATATCAACATTTTACTATACTTACTTAATTATTTGACTCAACACAATTCAACGACAAACGTTAAATCAAGAACATTGGATTTAATATTGTCAACAAGTGATATTAATGTTACTGTAGATCGTCAAGAGCTTCCACTGGTACAAGAAGATTTATATCTTTCTCTAAGGATTCAGGTATCAGTTATTCATGATAATAATATGCCATTTCCGTCCAATTCAAATAACATGAAGTTCAATTTTCAAAAAGCTAATGTACAGCATCAATTTCATTAACAATATAGAAAATTCGCTGACGCATGATACTAATATGTTTTGGTAATTTGTATATATGAAAAGGAAGAACCACGTTGTACCAGCTGAAATGACATACGCTAATCACATCTTCTCTGCTCCACAAGCCATCCTAAATGCATTTGCTAGTCACTTCTCGAGTGTTTTCTTCGACAATAGCATAAGTGATATTGCTTGTGATAACGAATACTAAAATGTACGATCATATCTTTTATCGCGTAGATAAACGTCGACCTTACCCAGAAATGGCATGAGTTAATTTTTACTGTAAAAAAATTGTGATACTTACGATTTTTTTGCAAACACTGTGCTGTTTAAATGTGATATGACTCATTATATATTTAATTTTGCTTTTTTACTGGTAGATCTTTCTTTAGTCGATCATCGAAAATTTTTCATTCTACTCAGATCATAGTGCGGCTAGAAAGAAAATGAAGTTATTTTTGTACAATTATGTTTTCGCGAGTGTGTTAATTTCAGCCGATGTGATAACATTAATTAAAGATAGCAATATTACGTGTGTTTTAACAGACGATTCTGTTAACTCCGCTATATACGTGACAAATGAAGAAAACCCTGTAAAACTTGAACGAACGATTCAAGAAATAACCAATATAGATGACGATGATTGGCAATGGGGAAAGTCGGGTGTGGACTTTCAATCAGTACTTGACCAACGTTGGACAAGTAAGTAAAGCACACAACGAAAGGAGATTTCTACAGAGTTTCTCAGATTTTAGTGGAGACTCTAAAGGTGTGAAAGTTACAGACCGATTCTCAGTGTGTTTAAAACAAGATTTGACAATTATTTTACATGACATGCGTTACCAACAGTCTACAAATTTACGAATAAGAAATGTGAGTATGTGACAAAAACACATTTCTTAAGTTCACTAATTTTCCGGTGTTAAAGTTGAATGGCACCGACTCCGCTTGCCAGTGGCAGCACTACGAAATAAAAAATTCTACAAATTATGTGAGTCTAGTCAACACTGAAATCAACAATGTTGTTAATGGAACAAAACTGGACTTTGGACCGGAGTGGTTAACATTTTCTCCAGACAATTTAAATATTAAAGTACATAGATGTAAGAACTTGATCCTAAGATAACAACCAATAGTACAGCTATATTTTGCAGATCAATTTCGATACTCTAAAACAACTAGCACAAAACCATCATACATTAACATAACATCTTTGAGTTGCGTCTCCTTTTATGTTTCTGTTGATGAAGGATGTTACCTGAACATTTCGGTACAACCAGGAAATAGCATTACAAAAATAGCTGGATTTAACGAGAAGAACGAATTAAAACAGTGGAAAAAATACGAAATAAGGACTGATCCTAAAGCGATTAATCAAAAGCTTTTGATTGACAGAGGACGAGACGACAACGGTAACGAGGGTTATTGGGCAATTGATGATATACATAGTTGTAGTTCCGAAACAGGTAGATATTGTTACGAAATTAAACTAAACACCGCATCGAATACTTTCATATTGAAATACGCCAATAAAAATCTTAGCTACAAAATGATTTTCAGTTATTTATCGAACCAACTTGTATACATCCTGGACTAACCAGAAGTGTGCGGAACTAAAACTAACGAACTCTTCAAATAAACTTTGCGACAAAGCCTCTCTAGGAGAAAAATGTCACATTAAATGCGATGAAGTTTTGGGGCCGTCATATCCCAATTGTGAAGAACATCGAATATGTTTGTCAGAAAATAAATGTCACTGTGCCTGGGGTTACAAGGGAGAAAACTGTAGCGAAGGTGTTACGTAAACAACTGAAAACAGTTAAAATAACTATTTCTTATTTTAGAATGCGAAGAAGATTTTTGGGGATTAGATTGTTTGAAAAATTGTACTAACTGCGAAAAATGTGATAAGAAAACCGGATGTCAAAAATGTAAGGCACAATACTTCGGGGAACAATGTGTGTATAAATTTCCCGTCGTGAAAAAGCCACCTATTTTAGAACCTAGTGACGACGATTCGATAAGAATTTTACCAAATATTGAATATGGACACGACGAAGAGACGCCAGTACATTATTATATTCAGTGGAAAAAGGTTTATTACACCTACTGTAAGTTGTTGCTTGTTTTAATGTAATGTTGCCAGCTTGACTGCAACCATACGTTCGAAAATTACACACACCAACAATTCAATATTACAAAAAAGAATGAATCGTGTTCGACAAATATAACGCGGGATGATTCTTATCAGTTTAGAATACTATTGGTTAGCCATAATTCGTCATTGCAACAAGATACCATTCCGAAGTTAACCGTATATAAAAGTAAGTAACTAATATAATATAGGCTGTTTTTGAAAGTATGTAAAAAAAGTAACGGGAAATAGGATATGAGAACACATGTCATAAACTCAAATTCACCTCAAATCAATGTTTCTTTTTTGAGACAAAATTCGCTAAAAAATGGATCAAAATTTGGCATTCGTTACTGATTTACAGCAATTCGTTGTTTGTTAAGCAACATTTGCGACGGTCTAATTTTACTTTCGGGTAGTTCAGCAACAGAAAGAAATATTTTTGACCTTTTTTCGTCGAAATGCTTTCAAAGAGGTTTTCTTAATAAATACAAAGTTATGCAATGCCAAAATGATCGACATGTACAGCAAAACATTTGGAAATGGTCTTGAAACTCGACGTCTGTACGCTGTAGCTTTCACCGGTCAGAATTTACCAGACCATGGAACTTTCATTGCCGTTATTGAGCGTCTCCGAGAAAATGCTAATCCCTTTTCTACTTGACTTGACAGTCTAGAAAAAATGTTGACTTTTTACTTGTCACTGTCGACTATAACTTTAGGCTAGTTGCTTGCAATCAATTAATTAGGTATGTACCTACACGTTGCACATTATTAATATTTGTCATTGGCGCAAGAAAAGTATGGTATAGGGGTATTTTTTTGTGAGATTGATACAATGAACAAAGTTTAGTATGGCTTTCCAAGATGGCCGAATTTAACAATTTTTTTTGCATACCTTTAAAAACACCCTGTAGTTAAAACTTTAAAAACACAATTTTAGAATCTTTGACTGCGCATGTGAAAGACGATGACACCATCGTTTTAAAGTGGACTGAACGTGACGCATGTGAAAATAATACGTACAAAATAACATACAAGGTATAAACATTGACAATATTATTATAGGACAAAGTGGATTGAATTCTATTTCTATGTACCAAGATTCCTCTGTCAGATTCTTGCACGTTTTAGAACTTCAGCATATTATTTAGGAGATTTCCTTTAAAAAATTCTTAAAAATTTGCTTTTTTACTATCTTTATCTTTCTTTACATTAAAAAATTAGCATCTCTGTATTAATGAATGTACTAGTGTTTGTGAAGTAAACAGTCTTTTTCGTTGATATCTATTTTCATCACCCTAATTTTTATTCATTTATTTCTGTAGAGTAAATTGTTGTTCTTTAGTAAGCAATATTTTTTAGTTTTCTTATTTGGCTAAAGTTATAAATTAAAGTTGGTTATCTTCTATCTGTCCTCTCTTTAAGTGCCATCATGTATGATTGACTCTTGTATTACTGTATTTAATTATAATTTTTAATAGGATTATGCGTTTACATCTGTTTACATTTTTAGTGTCAAAAATCATTCTGCGTCCATGAAGCAGAGGAAAAATATAACACCACATCTAATACAACGATCAAACTGACTATAAAACACTTTAAAATATGTGCGATCACGTTGTTCTTTATAAAAAATGAAAGCGATGAATTTATGGAGCAAACAACTGTGATGCCTCAAAATTCAACGAAAGAAATACTTCCCGCCGAATTACCAAGAAATGTTGCCTTCTTGGAAAATCGAATCGTTCTCGAATTAAACGAATGCAGCTATTTTACTGGACCACTGAATTATTCAATTGAACTTATATGCATAAGCGAGTGGTGTGCAAATAAATCTACAAAAATTGATCCGTGTCATTTACAAAACTACTCAACTAACATTACTAGAGATGTAAAGGGGTTATCACCTTTTACGAATTACAGCATCACAGTAACTGCAAAAAGGATTGGTCAGCATGACAAAAAACAAACTTATTTAAAGAAGTCAATGCCGTCAGGTGGATGAACATTTATCTCTTTAAAATTAACAAATTCATTATTTTTGTTCATTGCAGCACCACCGCCAGTAAATACTTTACAATTATATTCTAGTGACGAAGACACTTTGTTTATCAGGTGGAAGGAACCCTTTCCACCAACAGGAAAAATAGAAGCGTACAATGTTACTCTCAGCGATAACACGTCAATTCTTACTACAACGAATCGTACGTCTTCTTGCGAAATGTGGCCCGAATTTCAGTGCACAAATATACTTAGGGAAAAGAGAGTTAGCGTTTACAAAGTGACGGTGAGTTTGTTAGAATCTTATGTTTCATTTAAAAAAAATAAGTCAGTTTTAAAAAATAGTCTAATGTAAACTGACATAAGTTTGAAGCTGTACCCAATAAAAAAACTGTCCTAGGTTCGAGCAAAAAACTACGAAGTTGCTGAATGGAGTGAGTCCAATTTTACAATAAATGTCAAAAATGGTTCGTCTTTTATTTGTGTAAACGTAATAAATTAATTTGATTTTTTAGTAACTCAAGCACCTCAAAATTTGCAGATCGAATTAAGTCCACAATCAACGAACAAAGTGATACTTAGATGGGAGTACCCACTTTACACATATGGAAAAATTGAAAAATTCCATACAGTACTAAACAGCAGCAGTGGGACAGAAAATGATACGATCCAAGTTTCCAATGAGATAAACTATAACAAAACTGTATAATACTCTACATTTCTTCTCCACCAGTCAACAACGTGATTGTTTCAGATTAAAATCAAGTATGGTATTAAATACAACTTCACTGCTTGGGCACAAAACGCTCATGATGGTAAAAAAGCAACGATTTATTTTATAGTCTCTAAACCCATTTCTAAATTGTCGAATCAAGCTTTTATATTATGGTGTAATGGAACATGTCATTTAGTAAAACCAAAATCAAAAACACAAGTAAATACGAATTACAACATTACAATAAAACAAGATAATAGAACCAAAGAGGAGCACGAAGCGAAAGGATTAATTTCTCTTTCGGAAGATAAAATTCTCTGCGTGGAAAACATCCGATCATGCGACATCCACTCAAAGTTCCAAGACGTGGCAAACCAATCTTATTTTCTAAAAATAGACGGTGAAGAAATTCCTATCGAATTTATAGTAGTTGAAAGCAATATTATATCCGGAACAATTATTCTAGTAGTTACGCTAAGTCTAATTCTCCTCGTTGCTTTCCTTCCAGGGCTAATATACTAC